GTAGGTTTGCGCTCAAAAAACCCAACAAAAAATTATATTAAGAAATCTACAGTTAAGTAATATTTAAATAACTTAAAAATATTTTATACCTGTATTATAAGAGATACAAGATGACAACAACTGTTTTATCTCAGAACTATTAAAACATTTGTAATAATGAATGGTCACTTATTTCCTTTTAAGTTATTTATGTAATTTTAGATCAGAATCAGAAAAATTGATGAATAAATGACATAATTCTGAGCTACCTGCCAGTCTTTGCTTTGGTGTTAGGCCAAGAAACAATAACTGTCAAGAAAATCATCGATAATTAACTTGAAAAAATCAGAATGACTTCTTCTTCATAACGAATCTCTTAATTGTGACCACATAAAACGTTTAGCAGATTTTCATTTATATTCTCTTTGTTTCATACACAGGCCTGCAGTGCTTTATTTTGATAACTTGATCGATAATCATGGGCTGCTCAGCTGCACCGGGAAGATTAAAAATTTGTGCTGACTGATAAAATACGTAGCGTGCGCACACTGAACGTCAACAAACGCGCCACTCGGTGCTCAACTGTCAAATGTATACGATTGAGGAATCTGTCTAAAATATTTGTATACTCCACATATATGTTGGCACTCACAGTGCCCCCAGGCAGTGCTTATGCAAAGGTGTTCAAGATTGGTCCACTCGTCTAGAAAGGGAACATACAAGCATATATACATACACTACATTATAGTATGATATCTTCAAGTTACCCCAGACAAAGTCAGCAGTGAGCCATGGACTACCACTATAAGATTATGGGGAGGATAAATGAGAAAAACCTGTTGTAGTGATGGAGACTCCTGGAGAGTGTTGAGCTCCCATTGTAGGTGGTGTGGTATAGGGCATACATCCGTTTTGGAGGAGAGCTGTGAAGGGGATTCAGACAGGTTGACACACAATTTCCATCCAGCTGGGTTTAAAAACTGCAGAAAAGAATTTATTTTAAAGCCTCTTTGAAAAAAACAAACACTTTTGTGATTTCTAGCCTTGGAGTTATTTGTTTCAGTTTACTTACTTTTCTGCCACTGAGCTTTCTACTGCCTAAAGAATATGATGGAAGCGAGGTTTTTGACGGGTTCCTCGTGTATTTTCTCATTTTTACCTTTATCCGTGCGGCCCTGTGCTTTTCATCTGACCCAACACCCTCAAAGGCATGTTTGATGGCATCAACAATCTTATCATGTTCAAGTGAGTTCAGCTGAGCTCATCTGAAACCGGATTTGGTCACTTTTATAATCATAAGCTACTTTTATTTACGTTTGTCAACTTACTATAATTTTAAGACTACTATTTCAGCCTGACATTATTCAGTTTAACAGCTACTTAAGTAGTAAGTTGCTTGATTAGCCCTCATCTTCAACAAACAACTGTCATGGTCCCCGCACCTCGCCAGCTGACGTTAGCTCTCGCCTCTGCTCTCTTTCTCTCCCGCTCTCTCTTTCTCCTGCCGGGGCAGAGCTCAGTGTGGGCTCCCGCCCCTGGCCCACGCACCTGGGGATGATCAGCACACCTGCCACTGATTATGAATTAGAGTGCTACTTAAGATGGTGGACCTGCTTTACTCGTCGCTGGATCTTTGAGCCATCAGCGTCAGTCGTCCTGCAATCTGCAAAGTTTAAGTCGTGAGTACGCCTGAACCTGGAGACTAACTGTTTATCTGTATGTGTGTAGATTCCCTCTGGACCCGTTTCCTGTGCACTGTGACTGAGCGTGAGCCAGAGTGGTGGTGGACAGAAGCGGAGCTGTTTGTGTTTAAGAAAGCCGTGTGGAAATCTTCCCTCCCTGGACTCCTGCCCCTTTCACTCCCGGACCCTGGAACGCCGGCCCCTTTTCCCCAAACACCTTTGTACATATATTTCCCTGTGGAGAGCACTGTAAATAAATTCACTCTTGTTTGGAGTTTGTGGTCTGTGCTTTATTTATACTGTTAGACAACAATATTTTATTACATTTTTAATTTTTTAAATGGTATTTATTCATTTATTCATAATATTTAGCTAACAATTTGATAACAACTATAAACCCTAGGGGCGCAACGATACACAAAATTCACGGT